TGGTTTGTCCAGCCACTCGGCGTTGCTTACTCTTTTTGCCTATGCCCCGCTTTTTTTCCTTGTTCTTCCTTTTTTTCTCTGTAAAAAGACCATCAATGACGGCACACGATAAAACAACAACTTATTTTTCTTCATCCTCATCATCGGAATTCTACAAGCATACAACACGTCCACCTAAATCGTGCCGAATACGTATTATATCGATATAATTTATATACCGTATATATATATATTTATCTATATATATACATAGATATATATATATAGATATTACCTGTCATACTCATTTTTCTTTGTGAAAGTGTTTATATAAAAAAATTTCTCAAGGTCTAAAATGACCTATTACAGTATGATTGTAAGAAAAAAAAAATAGTAATCTATCTGTATGGTTCTCAATAAAGAACACCTAATGGTTGTTAAAAAAGAATCAGTAAATGCTTTCAACGACCATGATGACGATGATGAAGGAGAAATCGTGCTCTTGTTTTACTCATTCTTTGATTATCCTTGTTGCCCGATCTACTTGGCCTTTTGTGTGTGCAACTCGTATTCTTTTTCTTCTAGCTCTTTCTGTCTCTCTCTTGCTTTCAACATGCGGATGGTCGATGGTAATGATGAAGTAATCCGCGTAGATTAAATCAACATGAGCCGGAGGGGAGAGAAAAGGGAAAGACTCGACCAACACAAGCAAAGAAAAATAAAGAAAAAGATCAAGAGCGAATATTACCCGTGTGCACGGCTGGGACACCTTCTATAGTCTTTGTTTTGCATGTCTGTCTCAGTTTTCTCTTCTTTCTTTTCTTTACCTCATCTAATACTGTTCGGTCTTCAATGTCGGGCGACAACACACACATACACGCATGCACGAACGACTTGCACCAGCCGCCCAGTGACTTGAGCGCGCTGAACATCTAAGCGGTAGCGGACGAGCGGAACTTTTTTTTCTTGGTTTTTCCTTTTTTTTATGGATCTAATCGGCCGATGTTGCCACACAGATGCGAAGGACAACTCAACAAACACAAATACATTCATGCATTAGGCGAAATAAGAGAAGAAAGACAGAAGTAAAGTAATTATGTAATCTATGTGAATATAAACTCACTGGTGCGGATATTGGATTGAACACCAATGGCCTTTCATAAGTTAAAACAAGAACGGGATAGAACAGCAGCCTGTCGGTGTCGATTACTCTTCAATACAAAAGAAGAAAAAAAAAGAGAAAGTGAGAGTGAACAAATGTCGACACCATGTGGTTATATGTGGGTCGAGTCAAGGGCACAATCTCTTTTTTAATAAACTTGTTCTCTCTCTCTCTCTATTCAATATTGACCATTACTTGAAATGATTCTATCCATAATAGACAATCAATAGGAGTGTATGCATGCTATTATATTTGACAAAACTATGATCTAATAGGAGCATTGTACGTTAGAATCAAAGAATAAATCGAACATCATATGACATCATCATACATATAAATTTTTAATCTCAATGACATAAACGTAACACAATACTCAATTATAGAAAATAATAAACATTACCTCAAAAATTAATTAAATAAAATGCCTTGATAAATATTATCATTTTTTTAATACCAATAATTTAAATTCACAATGAATTCTTGATCTAAAAATGAACACACTCAAAATTATGTAGTAATAAAAATCAGTGGATTTTTGCTTGTAAACTATTAAACAACATTATCTATTATAAATATTTTTTATGAATAAAAGATTATTTCAAAAGAATAATCAATGTACTTGTGTTTACAATCATTCTCAAAGTAGATCAAAGTTGATTTATTGTTATAAACAATTATACTTGAAACAGTACATGTAAAAATGTTTTAGTTCTATTTTTGTTTTGTTTTGTTTTTCTATATTTACAATATAGAGAGGTAGACAATCAGAAAAGATATATATATATCAGTGACCAGTCTAAGATCCGAGTTTAAAAAAGTTCAAACTTGGATGAAACAAAAATTTGAGATCAAAACTTCTACGATCATTGTTGGATTCAGAAATTTTTATTCATAAACAACAACAAATCGATGATATTTACTTTTATAACACTCGATTCAAAAGTCAGAGTTAAATTGAACAAGTTTAATGTGTAAATGTAAACTCGACGGATATTTTTTTGTAAGTATTGAAATTAAACTTTCATGATCAATTGCGACTATACTTATATAAAATATCATCATTGAATTGTAGTTCATCAAAACCCAAATATTCCGAAATCCGACATAGATTTCAAATTTTTACTCGATTATTAAATTGAACACTGATACATATTTACAGAGTAACATGTAAATTTTCATCACAAAAGAAATTATATTCAATATACATCTGTAGTAAGTAGGTGTTATATACATATCAAATTTACTTTCACTCATTGTTAATTAAAGTTATAGAAAAAATAACAGTTTCTCCATGATCAATTCATTGCAAGTCATTTCTGTGAATCTATCATTCTTAAGTTTAATCCTGAACTAGATTCAGTCGCTGGGTTTTTTTATAGTGTTAATATAAAAAATGAATTTGTTAACATTTTTTTTTAGAAGGCTTGACAATTTACTATTTAGTTATTACTGATATAGATTGAGTATTGTTTCTTTTAGATGATATCTTAAATGTCACGCCTTACAAATAGATATCTTCAATACCTGTCTATCTTCATGTATCGTTAAAATACCAAAAAAAATGCAAATAAGGCGAAAAATTTATGAAAAACATATGAGTTACGTAAAATTTGTCATGCCATGTATGTACTATACAAACTGAGTTGATTGAAGTTTAGTATGTATCCACATACATACAACGTCAATAGATGGCAGAAATCGACAATATTATTTATATTTACTTATGTTGTAATTATACAAAAAAAAGTCTTGCAAGAAAATGATTCTAAACAAAAATAATTAATTATTTCTACGAAATAATAGTCAGCTTAGTAGAATTATAAACCGAAATATTGATCCAATTCATAAGACAATTATTTCATAAACTACAAAAATTAATTTCTATAATGTTTTTAAAATAATATTTGATTGTAACTAGTCCATGAGCTTTTCTATCATAAATAATATTACACATTTACGTCACCAACCAATTGAAATCTTAATAAAAGACAAATATAAATCGATATCTATCTCTGATCTTTAATATAAAGTTCTTTTGATATACAATACAAATCGGTAGTAGATCTAATCATAACTATTGATATTCGTATATGATTGTTCTATCATAATGTAACATTTCTTTCGTTTTATTAATTACATTTTAATTGATTGACATTATAAATTTTAAATCAGATATTATTCAAAATTTCGATAAAAAGTTCATGAAATTTATAATGACTTTCGTAGACCTACACACACAACATTACATTATGGAACAATTAGAGCTCACATATATTTAAAAAAATCTTTCTTTACTCAGATGCATCATGAATATATCCTATAATGAACGACAAAACGATGTTCCTATGTTATATGAACGCATGAAGTTCTCAAGAAATTCAACAAATTATATTCATTTATTATTTTTGGGAACGCACACATTATATTTAAGGAAAACAAAAACATATAACGACTGTAGCCTTCTTCAATGTGAGATATTAAAAAGAATTTTTATTGAGTATCTTTTTACAGCACTTACTGTTTTCTCATACATTATGGCAGTTAAATGCCTCGATTCTTGAGTATTTTTTTCTATCAACCATATAGCTGAGAATTCATATGGCATAAAGAAGGTCGTTGATTATAGCACAGCTGTTTCTCATAGATAAACATAAATATTCGGGTCAATGAGTTTTTAGCATGGCAAATTTAAGCAGAGAGAATAATCTATACTGTGATCGTCCAACATCGGAACGATTAGCATGAGGAAAGATAAATGTAAATATCTGTATACCATGGTATTCAACAAAACAAAAAAACCCATAGAAATAATGGAACGATATACAAACAAAATTGAGCAAATTGTAAACAATGGAATCTATCTGAAACATCATCGAATAGACGAATATGACAATGCTATGAAGAATATATAATGTATCGTTAGTAAATTTTTCAACTATTGATTTGTCTATGACATAAGAGTAGCCATCGAAATTTCAACATTATTTTTATTTTATTGTTTCAATGGAAAAATTAATAATTGTTGTGTAGAATTGCTTCTATTTCAGATAAATCGAATTCTTGTGCTAAATTCATATGTTTAACGAAAAATTTCTTTTTTTTTTAACATCAGTGACTGTGAATTTAGATCATCTTAGCCATATTTATTATGTTGTGTAAGCCATAAATATATACCTTTTACCAAGACAAACATCTATGACATCTACTCGATGTACTATAATTTCAGTTATAGTTCGTCTTGCCGTATATTTCATAAAAGACCATATATAGATCTAAATCCATGTAAACTGTAAACTTGAACATATTCTTGTAAATCATATTTTTGTTCTTAAAATAAAAGTGATTTTAAAATTTTGATTAAAGAAATACTGTTATGTCGTGTGATAAATTCGCTGTATAATTTAACAATCGATTTCTTTTAATCGACTTGTATAAGAATTTCTTTGTAAATCGAACGAGATATAACTGTTTGAACTGATATGTTTTAGAAGAAATACTCAATACCAACAGTTTTTTATATATGATGAATTCGAAATAACATATTAAAAATCAAATCAAAATAGACAAAATCACTTTGTTCAATTATAGGAAATTAATAAAAAAAGATAAGAATCTTTTTTTTTGTCCGATTCGATTAGAAATACAATAACATTATCAAATTATATTGAAAAGAAAATTAAATATTATCTATGCATTAGATTAAACTCATTTTTCTCAACAGACAAATAATATATATTTTATTTTATTTTTTTTTACCAAAAAAAAATAAGCATTAGACAAACTATTCTTTTGTTAAACGTGTTTCACAAAAAAACTGATACTTGACAATATTTAAAAAAAAGTAAGAAAAGAAAATCACTTAAACTGCTGTTGTTCGTGGTTCAAAGAAAGTAGAAGCACGGGTTTTGATTTGTTTAGAATATCGATCAGTTAATGTACCATTCGTCGGTAAATGTGACATTGATGCATGTAAAGAACGCAGTGTTACTGTACTTGATAATGGACGTTCTTGATTACAACCACTACTTATATGATTTATATGTTCAAAATTAATTGGTCCGGATATTGCCGATTTTTTAACTGTTCGAATTCTTGATAAACTACGACAACGACGTGCATCAGATTCTTGTTGTTCTTTATCTTGTTTATTTGATATTGTTCGTAAACGTGAATAACGACGTGGGATTTCTTTAGTATTATTTGTAGTTTTACTTTGTTGTTGTTGTTGTTGTTGTTGCATATTTTCAATTGATAATGGTAATAGATTTGTTAGATTCATACGTTGTTCATATTCTAATATTTCATAATAATGTCGAAAAAATAATCGACATGCATCATTACATTCAAATTGTAATACAGCAAGTAAATTGGATTCTGATAACCAGCATGTTATATAATTGTCTTTTGGTAAACGTAATTCAGCTTGATCTGAAATTAAACTTGACCATATAGCAAAACAACTTTCATGTTGAGCAAGTAATAATTTAACTTGTCGTGTTCGTTTCAAATTCGCTCCCTAAAATAAAAACAAAAAGTAGTAAAATAATCTAGACAAAACATGAATATAATAATAATAACGAACAGTATTATATATCCAAACAGGAACACCACGTTGTTGACATGACCAATCTTCAAAATTGACTATTTGTCGTGCTGTTGTTGTATAAAGACGAGCTATTGAACGAGCTGATTTAACTATTGTACCAACACTTCCATAGAACATTTCAAGACGTTTAATATCAATAATAATTTTGTCATCATTTTGTTGTTGTTCATTTTCATATGATGGTGATGATGATATTGTTGTTGATGAAAGTTCATTAAAAGCAGTTATAGATGACGATGTTGCTCTTGATGTACGACGAGATGACAAACATTTACTATTATTAATTGATGAATGTCGTCGTGGTGCCATAGGTGGATGACCATTCATATTATTGTATGATGATGACGGACGAGATCGATAAATAACAGATGATTTTTCAGATAGTTTCGGTGACATTGTTGGTGATGATAATGGAAATGATAAACGCGTTAAATTATGATCATATGAGCTTAACATTATCTCTGGAATTTTACTTTCATTATTATTATTGTTTAATTGAGTGTATGAATGTTGATGAATCATTGGTTTAACAATACCAACTATAGCTTTAGATTCACAACGTTGTCGAAGATCATTAGTATGCAATATCGGTTGATTTGTCGATGTTGAATTTCGAAAAATTGTTGATTTTGGACGTTGATAATTATATAAATGGGTTGATGATAATGATGATGATGGTAGTGGTGACGAAGCTGGATTATAATTAACATAGTTTGGTGTAGACACTTGTTTAGCTTGTTGTGATTGAGAGCAATAGGAAGTAGAAGAGAATGGTGCCGTAGTTTGTGATAATGATTGACTAATAGCGGTCCCAGTAGTTGGTATGTCTAGTGACCAATGATTGTATTGCAGGTGACATGGATGAGATGATACATTGGTGTAGGAAGGCACGCGAGAATTATCATACATTGTCCACCTGCTCTATTATAATGAATTGGTTGTGATCATGTATACTGTTTCTCGTGAGTATGATTAATTTACATGTAAATTAGCTATAATACAAAAGAGAATGAATAAAATAATACAATGAAATGAATGACCATATTATGATAATCGAATAATTTTATCCTACGATGACTTAAGTGACGAGAGAATATCCATAACATTAAACGTCACATTATTACATAGGAATCAATACAAGAGAAAAGCTTCCTTGAAAATGCATTTTACAATGTGTATTTGTGTATGTGTGAGTAATAGATTAGACAAAGGCAAAAGTATTGGTGTTCTTTGTATGGAAGTGCACATGTGTAACATGTCATTAAACGCAAAATATGTTTATAACACCATCATCACGAATAGCACACAATCCATTACATCGGTTCAATGTACGTGTCATGTGTGAGAATAAAGAAAAAAAAAAGAAAGGGTAGGAGAAAAAAAAACGAATTAATTTTCATCAATGTGACAGATTCAATAATCGTATTTAGTTCAGTAAGTTTATATATGAATAGTAACTGTTCATGCATGCACTATTTAACACTAAAATAGCTATTGTATTTTTTTCCCTTGTGTTCAAACAAACGCAAAAATCCATACCTCACAAATAAGTTACATCAGTACTTAATGAAAACGACAATGATGGCATCGTCTTTTCCGCTTCTCCTCTTCTTCTTCTTTTCTATCTGTCAACTTTTTGATGACGTATACAAACATACAAGTAAAAGAAAAAAAGAAAAATTGAGATGTCTGTTCATTCAATCAAACCATGACAGGATATCTGAGCTCTTTATTTTCTCTCGTTCATTCATCACTCTACTCCGATCGTTTTGACTGATTGATTTTACTGACTTATTTTCACATAGTTGAATTACACAAAAAAAAAAAAAAAAGAAAGAAGAATTTTCCGTGAATAATGTTAACTGCATCGGTCAAATTAAGAAAGAAAAGAAGCTCACATTATACATATATATATATAGTAGAAAAGAAAGCAAATGATGTAAATAAGAGACAAATAGACTGTGGGTTCACTCAATATATATGAAGTAGATAGAAAATAAGTACTCAGCTTGAAGACAACAAAACGAGCATCATTATTTTGTTTAAAGATTCTGTTGTCAATCTTAGAAACGAATGATGTAATTTTACAAACATAACAAGGAAAAAATTAGTCCAATTGTCTTCAACTCATCTCAATCAACCTTGACATGTTAGCAATGAAATAGTGGGAAAAGAACTTTTATGTACGTCACCAAGTAATCTATCGCCATTCAATATTCCCTTCTGACCTTGCAGTCATAGAATATGGGAAGAGTCAAAAAAAGACTACCAGGATTTATACATATGTTTATATATTGATATATATATATATATACTCTGGATCATATGCCGTGTCCTCCCTTCTCATATGCATTTGTTTGCCGTCACCGTTGGCAATGAAGGCTATAAATATTGCCTGCCTCATTTTCATGACCATCGTCTCTTTTACTTAACTTGTATAATCAGTATGTTCGATTTCTTAGTATAGCTATTTAACGTTGGCAGACATTGAGATTAGTATGGCAGTTACTCACCTACAGTATAGTTTTACGTAACTTAGCTACATAAACAGTTACAAGGTTATCAATGATTTAGTTAAAAATATTTACGTAATTAAATCACATTTAATGTTCAATATCCATCAACGTTACTGTCTTGTATGAGTGTATCATAATACGCAGAAAAAGAAAGAGGTCATGTACATGATCAATCAATACCATACATATGAAGAAAGAAAGTAGAAAAGAAAAAAAAAATTCTCTTGTATTTCTCAACGGTACGAAATGAGAGAAGAAAAAAAAAATGAAGCTCGCTGATGTCGAAAAAGGAAAAGGATTTATTCAATCAAGCATTGTTAAGATATTCTTGTATATATGTGTTATGTTTTTTCCTCTGCATTATGTTGTCGCTTATCAAACAGTTACAACTACCAGTGTTGAACGTTACCTCTTCCTTTCTGTCAATGATAGATAATCATAGTAACAATCAAAGATGATGTTTACATTCTTTCATTTATCAACGTATGTATCATAATGGTCGACATATAAAGAAATAGAGAAAGTTACTATGAAAAGTCACAATATGAACTGAGCGAAAAATAAATGGAATTTGTTGTCATCATTGTCTTCAAAAAAAAAAAGAAAAAGATGCTATCATTGTGAATGTGTGCACAACGATACCGATCGTCTAGGCAGTAACAGTAGTCAATTGAATAACCTAATCAAGTTGTTCGGATCGGTTCCGACAACAATCCAATTAGCACTCGTTCAACGTTAACTTTTAACAATCACATGTGCATTGCGAAATGAACTGAAATCAAACGATACGATTGCCTACTGAATTCTATATTGAATTCGTGACAGAATACTAGTTAATCTTATTTAAAATATTGGCTTTCATTATCAGAATACGTATTAATAAAACGACAAAAAAAATCCTATATATATAAATAGTTTAATCCATGATATAAGAAGATTAAAAAAATATTGTCATTTTGAATGAAATTATATTAAGCCTACTAGTGCTAACATGAATAATAACTATTGATTGTTATAGAATTTTGAAATAAACTTTCAATAAATATATAGAAAAGTATGTCTCAATGGGACATGTCTTCCTTATGCATGTATAAATGTCATACTCCAATATTTATACTATAGTAGTCTGTTATTATTGCGATCATTATTTTCTCACATCTGTCGGAATAAACTACGTATGCACAAGACAACAATCAATTGAGAAAGAGAAAAGAGAAAAAAAGTATTCACACAGAAAATTTCTTTGAGTAAAGCCGACAATTGCCATTATGTACAGCTTTTTCTAGGTCCATTATTCTCCGATACAGAACAAATGATTCGTAGTGATGATCGTTCAATATATATATATATATATATACAAAAAAAAAGTTCATGAGCAGACAACTTATAAACTTTATTACAATCTAAATGAATCCATCAAATGCGTATATCTCTTATATTCAGTGAGATGAGAAGCCTATATTTCTCATTAAATCATCATAGATTAAATATTTATAATATTTAGTTTAGTTTCTTTCTCATCTATTTCTTGTAAAGAATGTTAATGTTAGTGTTTCGAATTTTTCATAACTCTCATAATTAGTTGTTGACATTTTAAAAACTAGAATATATATAAATCACTATGATTCGTTTAAGGACTTTGAAGAACATTATAATATGAAAAATGACAAGGAGATCATTGAATAATATCAAAATGTCATTATTTTTTTAGCACAAAAAAAAAATATGTTTAAAAAACAAATAATCTTATATTTTTTTTATAAAAATTGTAAATAAGCTAGCAAAACAAAAATATAGAGATGTTTAATGATCTTATTCTGTCTCTTTCATTCTGTATAAATGCATTCTGTACTCAATATTGTTTCATCGTCATAAATCTTTATTTATTGTCTGGTTCATTATTGTACAAGAATATTAAAGGTTTACATAAGACTGTAATAGATACTACGTAATATAGAATTGTTGTAGCATGGACGAATAATGAAACAGAAAAATAAGTCAGTTGCCTGAGGTAACGATTAAGTTACATTACTGTCGAGACGCATGCTTTAGATTCTCAATGATTTGTTTTTCTCGGTAAAGTTCGTCCATAATCGTCAAAGCTTATCACAGCATGCTCAGCATGGCGATTATCTATCAGTTTATTTTTGTATCTAAGTGGTTAAGCAATCTTTTATATATCTATATATTTATATATTCTTTGAATTGATATTGCATCGTATGCATATATCTATAGTATTCGATACTTTCATCGATCAAAATTTTATCATGTATTTTAATTTTTTAGGAAAATTTCTTTACAGATTAACGTACTAACACTTTTGAAACATATGATTAATTATTCTAGAGTATGACATTAGTTTTTCTATTCGTGCTTTATTTCATTCATTTCGTTAAGACATTTATCGAGATTTAATATAATAGATATTGTGTTGCCTATTGTCAACTAGCGAGCTTTCTCATGTCATCCAATATATTTTGTTGCCAGCGGCTTTGACTTCGATGAGAAATAATGTACAAGCAGCTTAATATTAAATAATAATTGCTGCTATTTTTAGATTACACTCATTTCTTAACTTTATCTGCCTTGATTAAAATAACTACCTATGGGCACTATTACTGTATGTTACTAGAGAATCTATATGTAATTTGAAGTCATGCCAATCATAATACTGTAATGTCACTGTTATATTCAAATGTCAGTTCTCATCTCGATAGAAAGTGATAATGAATCTATAATTTAGTGCCAAACTAAAACCTAATTCATCAGGTTTATTGATTAAGTGCTGACAAGAAAAACATAGTCGACTCGAAAAAATAACATTCGATATTATACGAAAGAAAGTGTTAGGTCAATGTAACCATATTAAAAAAACTTGTTTGATAGTATGATTGAAAGAAAAAAAAATCAGAATTATTTTAATATGAATAACACTATTTTAAATAGATATCTAATTGAGATGATTGAATCATCACATCCTGTAACATTTTACTACATTCATAAGATATATATGATCATTAAATAATTATCTCTTAATTATAAATATCAGAAACTAGAAGTCAGAGGAATTATTTTATATATTAATGTCGTTATTCATTGTCAAGATATTCTTTAATACAGATAATGTCACTTTATAGAATATTTTCTACTATGGAGCATATCACAAAGCGTTGTTATTTTACTATGTATATACATATATATAGACATATTTTCTTTACCACATGGAACTGACTTCACATAAAACAAGATATTGATTACTTTTCAATGAATTTATTACTGCTAAAATATGCACAATTTATTTTGTATTTCTAAACTCGATGCTAAATATTCATTGAAAATTGTTTATTATGAAAAAGAAAATAATTATCTAATAATATTTCATTAGACGAACTCTAATTATAGATAATTCAGAATAAAATAAATAATATTAACAAAACAGCTTAAAAATAATTAATTCTGATTTTCATAGTTATGAATTTATAGATCGACTGTATGTGTTATTTTGTTGCCAATAAAATAGCTTAATAAGGTTCAATTTGAAAAATTCTAAACGGATAATACAATAGTTCTATGATAACTTTGAATTGTATGTGCACCATTTCTAGTTTTATTTTTTGTTTAGCTATTGTAACTTGTATAACTGACAACAAATTGAAAAATGTTAATCGTCTTTTTTTGTTTTTCGTATAAATCTACTAGTATTTCTATATTCGAATAACAACGAAAAGAAAAAGACAAGAATAATAAATTTATTCAGATTATTTATGTCATAATTGTTCACTCAGTAAAAAACACATAATTGAACAGAATACAAAAAATCAGCTCATATTTAATGTAGGTTTTAATGATTCATTATTACTTGAATTGAATCAATATTTAAATTAAAATTATCGACCAAGATTAACAGGTAGATTAGCTCTAGCTTCTTCTTCAGTAGCTTCATCGAATGTACCTTTTCGTTTTTTACTACAAGCAAAAAAGACAAAGGACGACGCAAGCCATTGAATAAAAATTATCCAAGCAATTATAAAACAAACACCATATGTATGTTTTGTACCATGTGGATAAATATAAGGTAAATGTTCGCTTGAATGACGAAATATCGTAATTAGTACTTCAATGCAAACAACAAGTGATGCAGCTGAAAGAGAACAAGAAAAAAAACTTATTATTTGAAAGAAAACAAATTCATACTATTAAAATTATTATTACCGGTTAGAATATAAATCATGCCCGTTAATCGTTTATAGGTATATCGATAATCACGAATACTATACAAACCACAAATAAATGTAATAATTGCAAGAAGAATATGAATAATACTAAATGAAAGCATTGTACGAATCATTCCTATAATTAAACATGAAAAGAAAAGAAAATTTACGTTGCATATTAATGTTTTTTTTTTTTAGTAAAATTTGCGTCAAATAATAATAATAATAATAATAAAAGAGATCATACCGACAAGTGTTTGTTCGGCTGCTATTGATGCATTTTGAACTTGATTCTGATGATAATCGCATTTTTTTTCTATATAAAACAATAATAGATAAGGTAATGTATGCTAAAAAAAGATTTATTTTCTGCTATCAGTTAATACTGCAGCTGTTAATAATATGTTATATACTTTCTAAATTCTTGATAATCATATCAGAACTCAATTTCTAACGGTACATATTATCTATTAATACTCACCATACGTTGAATTTAATTTTGGTACACCGAGTACACATTCCCATATAATACCGTATGTAGATTGAGTAACATACATATTTTGTCTTGAAATGAAGGTAGCGTTTGGATAGGTAATAACTATCCATTGACTTGATGTAAGTGTTATTAAAAAAATGATAAATGAAACAACAGTAAGAGCAATAGTTAAACGCAAAATTTGTGTTTTTCGTTCAATAGGTGCTTTTTTAGTCGAGACGTTGGTCATCGTTGTTATTATAATAATATTATCGTAATGATTATAGATTATGACATTGATAATTTTTGAATAAAATAGTCAGTTCTTAGACGACGTCTAGTGCTTCGAGATTCAACAATAATAATAGTTATCCCAATATGACTTATCAACATCCAAGTTAAGATAGTAGTACTAGTAGATCACCGTACATACTTTATACGTTTATTTGTATATTGCTTATGTGGAGGAGTTTAAAGAGCGAATTCGACCTTAAACAAACAAACAAGATCAATAGATATGCATTTCATGAACTTTCAATTATAATTGAAAGATATTTCAGGGTATACTATACTTGTCACTGTTTTTCACTGTTGAAAACGTTTTTTCTTTTTCTTTTGCCTACTATAAAAATATTATTTTCCTATGTCGGTATAGAACCCACACAAATATATAGATAAAATACTTTTCTCTCATGTTGTTTCAGGGTATTAGAAAAAAAAACGAGAGAAAAGCGGAAAGTAATGATTGTATCGAGGACGTATATATTCTTTCTCATAAAAGAAAGCTAGAAAAAACGATCTTTATACTACAGTAGAGAAAAGGAAAGGAAGCACGGTCGATGAGAAATATATCCAACTTCTTTCTGATAAGACCAGTGAGGTTAACGTGTATGAAGAAAGTTGCTGATAAGACTCATATACTACCTGACAAACTGCACGATCTATTTGTCCATTACTATGAAATATCTAATTTATTCAAATGTTTGTCGTCATATTTTTTCATCTAAACAATACGACCTTTACGAAAAGAATGTGCTAAATACAGTAGAAAAATAAAAATATGTTTCCAATTTGCTAGACAAACACAAAATTTAAGCATGATGACCTATCATAAAAGATAAGACGGATTATCAAGATAAATATGTTTAAAGATGTAATTCATTTACAAAAGGACATAGTGAAAACACAAAGATAAGTTAAAGTAGAATTACTTAAAAACAATTTTTTTTCAATCATTTACGATGGTATAATAATCTTTTGAAAGATTACTTAATTATATAAACTATTTTGATGAAATATATTGTCGACAAAAAGGAAGGACTCAACATATACATTAAGAAAAGTTTGGTTTCTGATGATTTTCTATTAATAAATATTGTAAAAATATTATTCATTAGTATGATAAAGTTGAATACATGCAACCGGATTCGTTGAATATTAACTACAGATTAATGAATAATGCATATACTTTCCTAATAATAATCTATTGTGAAAAGATCGTTGAGAATTTTGTGCTAAATGTTCTATTCATAATTTAATTTACGCATGAGTGAAGTTGTCTTATTTGAAATATGTAACATGCAATTTAGATTTTTATATAATAAATACTATTACCTACGATATATGGAAGAAAATGCAAATAAAACTGATTTGATAACTATCACTATATAAGTTATGTATTATTTACATCTCGGTAAACATTGATGTAGAAATTAATATTGATTAAAATATTGGCGATATTTAGTCTATTTTCTATTTTTATGCTAATTATTTTCTTATTTGAATTTGATTTATTCTTGTTTACATATGAGATTCATAATTCTTAGCTTTGAAAGTCAAAATGACTTCTGATTAGTAATGTCTTACAACTTTTACATGTAAACAGTATGACAAATGTACATTATTTATTCATTAACCTTAGTGACAATATTTTCGAGATACCGATTTTTTCTTTCTTAGTTTACATAAATATGGACATCAACTATTGTTTTAAATAGTGTTGTTTTTTGGCGTTTGATAGGCATCATATTGCGACTGTTTGTCAATAGTTGCTAACCGTGTAGAACACGATAAAATGCGTTTGTAATATAGCACATACTGAAATGTCAACTTACGACTATTGAAGACTGAATACTGTATGAAGCAATCGGAAAACACAATCAACTTCAATCGTTTACAATCACTCACATAAATTGAAATCGTCATTCTGAACCAGTTTAATATATACTTTCATTATTATTTCAAATCTATTTAAAAGATAAATTATTGTCATATGACCTTTAGTTCATGGTCTGTTTCAATATCTATTACTTCTATTGTATGAATGGCAAGCTGTTTGAAATTATGCAACATATGTTTCCACATAATATTTCAAACAGAATAGAATCAAACACTTCAAGTGATATGAATTATAAAGAAACATATTTTTCAATGCGTAGGCTATTTGATAAGAGTTAAAGATCAACGATGTCTGTGTTTTCTATGAATGATGTCAATGAAAAAAGATGTGAAACAAAAAAAAATGTGTTTTGATCGTTTCTCTTTCAAAAGATTAATAAAAGGTTCTACTTGCTGAGCACATTGTTCGAAACCACTCGCATTGAAAAAATGACGGAAATCACGTCGCATTCTATCTATCTACTTATTTAGTTATTTATTTACTAACCATATTACAAGCCTACTGACTAACCTTGTCATTAAAGTAAAGATAAAAAAACGTGGAAAAAGTCATGCAGTAAGAGAATAATTAAATCGTTTGACATAAAAAAAAATGTTAAGTATTATAGACAAAGTAACACAAGACAGAAAAGATGAAATGAACAAGATGACAAAACATTCAATTGAGAAAGTCATACAATAAAAAAAAGAAGAAGTAGACTAAAAGTCCAGGCAAATATATTGAATTGAATAAGGGTTACTTACTTTGAAATTAAATAATAGAACAAAAAGGATTCTCGTGTTTCATGCTTAATATATAAATATCTATATATATAAATGCATTGCAATTCTTCTTGTACATGTGGTATTTTAGAATATCTACGCTATTATATTCGTTCGTATTGAATGATTTTATAGTTGTCTTTTTAATTCTATTCTCTTCTTAGTCTCGTACATCAAATTTCATGTTTCTATTGTGTATTCTTTCTAAGTTACAAAGTTGACAATTAGAAAAAAATCGCAATTTGTGGCGAAACATATGTAGAGAAGACGTTTGTCTGGAACAAGAAAGAAGTAGAAAAAACAATACAAATGGACCATTTTGTAGCTTGGATATGGCTCTATTGAAACGTGTGATTCACAGGTCTACACATCTTTCTGATCATATGCTTCTGCTCTCGACATTCGATGACAGGCGCTTTTCTTTTTTTCTGTATCGTACCATAAACTACCATTCCTACATACGAGAAAGGGCTTACTTAGCAAACCAATATACCAAACAAAAAGAGAACTTTTTGAATAACGGTTTTATATAAAGATGTTTACTGTGTCTCTTCCTTCTAGAGTGAGAGAAAAAGGGAGAACTCGAAGAATTCAAAAAATAATATATTTACTCATTTTGTAAGTGATATTTTGAAATTTGTTTGATCTATAACTCAAGAACAGTTGTTCTGATTTCAACGCATAGTTTCAGGTTACATAGAGATAGAAAAAACTTATATTAACGATAAAGGTCTCAAAACTTTAGCTTTTACTATTCTGAAAATATAGAAACTCTATGACAATACTTATAGTAATGTTTTGTGAACAAAAAATACGCAGTGAAGAGTAGAGACCTGCATCGGAGTCCGAACGACTCCGAAAAAAGAGGACAAAAATATAAAATGATGGGTACGTAATATATGAATACATTGTTTAAATATTACGTACCCATCTCTTTTCTTTTTTGTCCCCTCTTTTCGGAGTCATTCGGACTCCGATGCAGGTCTCTAGTGAAGAGACACTTTTCTGCAGATATTTTTAGTTAAATCTACTAAACAGTATTCTTTTCAGGTATACTTTAACTGAAAAAAATTCGATGAGCAAGTCTGAATGCATAGTAGACTATTTTTCACTAATCGTTACCTATGCCGAGTTGGAAAAATGATACGACATTTTTAATAAAAAGTTGCTTTTCAGTCATATAGCCATCATCAATGTAGGCAACTGCAATAGTATGTATGTTTGTCATAATTAAAAATTTTTCTTGCATTGTTCATTATTTGGGATGTCCATTGACAAGATAATCGCTTGAAGTTTGTGGATAATTATGAGCAAATGAAGGAAGTTCCATGTATGTAATACTTGTGAGAAGAAGATATAAAGTGGAACAGAGCTCAAGTATAAAGAAATAAATACTAATGAGTTCCATTTAATTATATTCTTTAGACTGATCACAATAATTGACTGTCTTTTATTCAAGATTTTGTAAACTTAAAGTGTAATGAAAGTAAAAAAAACATTCTAAGTTTCGTTCTATTGTTCTATTACGACTCTATCTATTCTGATCGTATAAATACAATGCATTAAATCTGAAAATGTATATACGAATGTGACAAAGATAAATTTCGCATGAAAAAAAAGCAAATATTACCATAATCAACTATTGTAATTTTATCCTTCGAGAGATAAACAAGTCTATTTGCATTACTAGCATATATTTCGCATATTTATGTGATTAATATTGTTTGTACTTGTCATTTTTAGCGTATATTTTATTTTATTACGTACTATTATTTCTGATACTACTACCTATACTTTAGCCTAATAACTAAGTACTTTTGATACAATAATGAAATTATTTTCGGCAATGTTTGACATTAGTTTTATAATGTAGATTTAATTTTGTTAAAAATCTTCAGAAGCATTAATTGAAATTTTCAACATTCTTTCCTGAAAAAAAATATGCGATAAATTGCTGAAATCAACGACAATGCATTTTCTTTCTAAAAACTATATTTTTGAATATTGTTAGAAATCATTTTTGCATTTGAAGAACAGTAAAAAAAAGAATTCTCTTACTACTTAGAAGGATGATGAATGGACTAGAAAGTCCTTGATGTATACACTCATTCACATTCTTCTATTGTGATGCAAGAGAAAATGATCTTAGCGAAACAAAATAATTTCTTTGATATTCTAACAAGAACGATTTAGAAAATATTCTAGTATTTGATATATTAATGTAGAATGTGTTCTACATGGCCAGAAAAGGATTTTGAATCGAAGAGAATGCATTTAAAAGAAATATGAACGAAAGCAGTTTTTTAGTAG